CTTCCGAATTTCCACGGTTGTCGTTGTTGATATTGCTGGTGTCCCTGTGGTAACGTCTGTGGGCAAGGAGAGGAGATGGAAGGAAACAAAAAAACAAATGTTGTGACCTTTGGCATTTGCTTGTTTGCATCCTAATGCTGTAACCACACAGAAAGCCAGATTGTGCTGGTGATGGTTTGACTAATGATAATAAACTAAATCTGACCTTATTCTTTGTATTTTGTGTGGTTACAAAATACAGTACTCCCATGTATCAAAATGCCACGTATTCTGTCTCCTGCATTCTGTTAACACCCAGTAAATAGAGAATTCATGAACTGAAAAGACAGGTCATTAAGACTGTACTGTACAACTGAAAGATAATCCACTAAAAGAGGTTGTGTAAATTACCAGTACAATAGGCAGTTAAAATTTATATGCAGCACTTCAGATGCATAAACTGCCATATTACCGCATAATACTTACGCTGATTGAGTAGCCAAGCTAAAGTTTTAACATTCTGTACTAATAAAACTAAAATGAAAATAATTGTATGTTTTTGATACCTGATAAAATAAAACATTAAATTGATACTTCACTTGATATTAGCCAAAACTAATATTAAATGAATGAAGGTAATTATTAATACACAGTATACATTTATCCATGCATTATTATTATCCATTATTGCATACTAACAATACATACTAATAATAGTAATTAAATATACAGCTTTCTATGTCTGAGACCTACACAAACACTAATAAGATTTCTGTTCTGTGTATCAGTGGTATGTTTGGAAAAACTGTAAGCATGTTATATAGCTAAATCTATCTGGAAACCTAGTGCTTGCCTCTAAGAACTTGTGCTTTTTCTGTAGTTTTCAAACCCAAGAGAGAGAAAATACACAATGATGTTGTGGTTTGAATAATATATACACGACATTGGATATGGCAGTATCATTTGGTAGTTAAGTACTTAGCAGGGCAGAGGACAGTAAGATCCAGGACTGAGCCAGTGGAGAAGATGACAAGTAAGGGACAGGAGAAGGAGAGAAGGGACAGGAGCTGTTCTGCCTTTGCAGTGTTGTATTTTGTCATATTAAGCCTACCGCGTAGCAGCTTCCCCCATAAGAAATCTTAGCTACTTTACTAAGATACTGCTGGAATTGGGTACTTTCCAACATAGACAGCTCATTTTGGTTTCATACATCCCTTGGTGTCAGTGGTGTTCTACCTGTACTATGCTTTATTCACTGCCATCTATTAGAATAGGCAAAGTAACAATTCTTTGGCTTATAGATCTCAGTATGTGCTGTGATGCAGGACAGACACAACTAACTGATGCTGCAGAGGTGTGTTTCAGACTAATACTGTTCAACAACTTCATTAATGACAAACACACCTATTAACTTAGAAGACAATAGCAAACTGGGAGCAAGTGCAAACACACTGGGAGACGCGATTCAAAACAATTTTAATGCATTTGAGAAACAGTCTAGAAAATTAGGTGCTTTTCAGTAAAGGCAATTGCAGGAATTCACACTCAGTAGGATTAATCTGATCTGCTAAAACAGGATGAAGAACAGCCCCAGTACTGCTTTTGGGTTTCTTGTTTGTTTGATTTTGGGTGGGCTGGTTGGTTTGGTTTTTTCAGAAAAAGCTTTCAGTAGCAGATAACAAGTCCCCACCATATTGAAAGTGCAAAGTGAAAGATTTATGAAGTATTTTTTTTCTCCTCTAATCAGCACTGGAGGCCCTGTGTCCAGACTGGGGACTGTAACGTCAAAAATTAACCATTACTTGCTTTGTTGTTAATCCAGCAGCAATACAAATGCAAACCAACAAGAGAGGGGTTGCGAGGGAGGAAGCCAAAACAAATTAGAGGTTTAGAAAATATGGACTGTGAATATGGAAGATGAAGGGTAAACACTGACAACATTTTTCATATCTGTAGAAGGTAGCTAAAAATAAGAAAATAAATTCTTCTCCTTGATCCCTTCTAATAGGACAAGAACTATTGGATTAGAGCAAGAGAGACTTAGATTAGACATCAGGAAATTCTTTCTAATATTAAAGCTTGTAAAGCCTGAGAATAGCCTACCTCCAGAGATCCAGAAATATTGCCTACTGTAGGACTTGGAACTGGCCGAACAAATAGCTGCAGTAGCAACCCAGGTATGATCCCTTTTCAGTCAGTGACCTTCAAGACCTTTTAATTTCTATACATTGTGTATTTGGTAATGTTTCTACATATTCTCCCAGAGGGTTTTTAAAAATTATTATTCATAAAACCGAGAAAGCGGAGTTTGTCATGTGAATATTCTACAGATTGCCAGGCATTAGAGCATATAGCAAAAATAAGGTCCTGCTCAAGGTCTAATCAAAGTACTTTTTTTCCTGAGAGTGAGTCTGGAGGTGGTTATATTCTGAAGGTACCGAGGATGTCAAATACAGGTGCAGAAGGAATGGTGTTACCTTGCTGAACATTCTGTACTTATTATTTTTTACAGACCAACAATAATGCTGCAAAAGAAAAATACTATTTTGAAATACTAAGCCTTTTGTTGGGAAACTGATGAGTAAATGAAGCCTTTGTAGATCTGTCCACAAAATTATACATTTAACTAGTCACTCCTTTCCCATCCCAGAGAATCTGTGTAGATGTTGGCTTTCCTTCAACTGAAAGTTGCTGCACTGAAATTATTTTCCTCAAAAGCCTACTCCTAGCAGTACATAAAACTTCAGTTTCTCTATCCTGGTACTACTGTACAGTAGTAGGTCTAGCCAATGTACTTTCCTGGTGAAAAGGAAGGCAGAGGGCAGATGGCACCAGGGAGAGAGAAGGAAAAGAAAAAGAAGATATTAACATTCTCTCAGGATTGATGGCAAGGTTGGTGCTTATCCTAATCTTGCAGGAAATTAGATATGTACATCAATCACCATTACCAGCTTTGCAGTGCGAGGGTCAGTATTTTGCCCTAAGCAAAATATAGATCATCATTTCTTTATTTTCCATAGGAAAATCTGAGGCAATGAACAAAAAAAAAACTTAAATAACTGCAGATTTTATTTTGCTTGAAATATCTGATCTCCTATATCTATGTTGATCTAATATTTCACTATGTAATTATTTTAAAGTGAAAAGAAAATACAATCAATTATGTTAGTCCTTTTGAGGGTATTTAGATATACATGCGTGAAAGCAGCATTGTATATAAAAATTAAACTAAAAATGGTAAATGTCATCAGCATATTCTTCAACTAAAAAAAAAATCAAAGTTCAGTGCATATATTCTGCACTTTCAAAAGGCACCCTATATTAATACATTATATATTCCACTAATGCAAATGCATTAATTACATCAAAACATATACAAGAAAACACCATCCAAGTTCACCATGTAAAAGCCATGACACATTTAAAGATGCAAAGCTGCTCCTCTTCATATAAACTTTAGAATTGTCTGCAGGAATTAAGGAGAAAACATTCTAAAAGCTGTCAAGTAAGCTTACAAAGAGGGAATTCAAATCCTCTTCTCACCAGAGCTTCTAACCTAACCAGCATGTGCCTCTCTGAATATATTACAGTGTTGCTGCCTGTACATAGTTCAGTGCCCTAAATACAGGGTACAGCATTAAAGGTATAAGAGATTAAAAAAAAAAAAATAAAACCATCAAAAAGGAGTAGGAAGGCATTTGAATTGATGCCTTGAAGACTGAATCAGCATTTCTTAACATTATATTATGACAGTGCTTTAAGAACTATTTCAATAATAAATGATCTAAAATTGAGCTGGAAATTCAGTCACAGTCAAATGGAAGATTTGTTTCTGGTGACGCAGGCTTGAAGCACTGTGCTATTTTCATACCAGTGGCCCGCAGCAAATATTCATTATTGCAACTGTCACTGCTTTGCCTTGGCATAGAAGCTGATTGCTAATATTGTATGGAACTGGACTCCAACAGCAAAAAAAAGGGAACACTTCAAGATTCACAATAATCCGTTTGTGTTCTTAATATAGAAACAGAATAAAAATTAAAAATAAAAAAAAATTACATTAGAATCTAATCTTGGTCACTGGCAAAATCAAAGATTTATTTCAATAAGAAGACAAAGCCAGATGAAAAACATTCTGTGAGAATTGACTCCTTTGGGTACTACAGACACCATCGTTCAAGTGGAAAACTGCAAGTGTGTGATTAAGGTCCTCCTAAGTAAGCAGGATTAACTTTATATCCCAGTTACAAGACTCATGAATTTTCTTTGGGCTGAAGAAACAGAAAACTACAACTCATGATTTTCTTCTACGTATGTGGAAGTCTCACTCATCAGTTCCTGCTACTAAGCATAAGAATTTCTTATCATGAAACTATACATAGACCCAGAGAGAGAAAAGTGCTCCAACTTCAAACAAATCAAAACTATTTATGAGCATGTTTTTTCTTCTGCAATCTCAAGTGGTGTGCATTTAAAAATATCCGATTTAGAACATACCCGTGCATTCTGGTCTCATTTAAATCAAACTTTGTCTTTGACATAAAAGGATTGATCATTTGGCCCATTACGCTGTCCAGGAAAAAACAAAAAAAACCAAAATGACCCCCCCACTTCTCCCGCAGCAACTAGAAAGCACATTCTTTCTCATGACAAACGGAACTCGGTATTAAATATTTCACTATACCATAAAACCTCTTAGTATTGCAAAAACGTTGTCAGCTGGCTCGCTTATAGCAAACCCACATCAAGTAACAGAATGCTCCTGTACGGGTGCTTGACACTGGCATGTTCAAAAGGGTCTCGGCATATTATTTTCCTGCCTACTAAGAACCGGGTCCTCAGTTTCCTTGGGTTGCTTTGAAAATCCCATGCTTCATGTACTCTGTGGTAATTACATTTGAAGATAAGATGTAATTTCTTTTGAATCTGTAAATACAACAGTGGAGTATATGAAAAACAAAGTACCATTCCCAAAATAACTGTGACTGACTTTTTTTTGTGCTTGGCTGACTTTCTGTACTCATATGCTAAAACATAAACATGTGTGCTAGCACATTGGCTAGCTCTGGCACTTAAA